GTGAAGTCAATCCTCACATACCAACGGCACAATGTCCCACCTGGATGACAAAGACGGATGCAATTGGAGTTAACAATGTCTTTCACTTATTAAACAAAACTCTTTTTTTTTTTTTAGTATATTACAAACACTTACTTCAACTAATGCAAAGGTCTGGAAAAACTTGAGTGTCCTTGCTATACTTCTGTAGAGACCCTTATGTGTGCCTTTCTGGATGTAGAAGCGCATCATTGTGATTGCCAGAACCAGCCACCTGGAGAAAAAACAAGCCCCAAGCCATAAATCCTGTCCAGACAAAGCCATGGTGCTGCTCAGAGACAACAATCTGTAAAGGCTAACGGTATTTTTATACATTCGGAACTCTGTAATGAGTTAGCATTGGAGGATATATATCACAATGTGTTACATAACAAAAACTCAATGTTCAGCAAAGACTTTCTTTATAGATATGCTGTTCAGTAAATATTAAAGTATCCAGATTTTCTTAATCAAAACATTCCAAACATAGAGGCAAATTCAATAGAAATAAATGAACATTCCAATTCAATTGCAGCTGTGGTTACAGTTGAGTCAAATTCAGCTTAAAATGTGAGTTAATAAAATGTTTTCCATTTACAGAAGTCCTGCTGATCGGGGAATGGTGGAAAGGAGTGGCTGTTTTATCACATAAATACAAACCCAATAAAAACATTTATTACAAAGACAAAATCACAGTGGAATTAAATTTGTCTGCAAGATTCTCAACACAATTTTCTCTTAATAAGCTTGTTGATGGAATGAAAGTTTCTGATCCACTGATTCTGACTAGAAGCCACTCATCTGTTCTCTGAAAACGGCCGCTGGTTTCATACTGTAAGACATACAACGTTATTCAAAGGAGACATTGTACTGAACCTTAATAAGCTAGTCTTATTACAAAAGTATTTGCAACCCTCTAATTATTTTACAATTGTGTCACAATCACAAACTTGAATATACTTAATTTGGATTTTATTAACCAGAACACAAAGTGGTGCATATTTTTAAATCTGTCAGCTGGTGCTTTTTTGTTTGTTTGTTTGTTTGTTTTATTTAAAAGCAGAGCAAGACTCTGAAACAGTAAGAATTTGCTTATTACCACTGAGGTAATGCTAAATATTTATGCAAATCCGCTTTCACTTATTTGATCAAACAACAACTTGTACAGTCACAAGTTAGTACATCGACTTTTCTTAGCTAAATATTTGTAATGGAGCCAATGATAAAATAATAATAATAATAATCCACACTGGCTGCCATACATGAGCCAAGCAATTCACACATGCAAAGAAATCAAAGTGATTTAGTCGCAAAAGAAGAGTATATTCCAATCAATTTTTGGCAAGAAATACTTCTTGAACACGGAGGAAATCTCAAGCATTTCTGTATCTTTAGGTGGTATGTTATTTCAAGTTATATTTCCATACAAATCCCACAAGAGAAAAACACAAAAGACTTAATAGCCTAATCTTAGTCTGTTAGTTAATAGGCTTCAAACTACATTTATTATTTCTTGGTTTTCCAAAAACATGCAGGGTTCATTCAGCCTGTTTCCACAGTCTTGCATAAGCCTGATGTTTTTCTTTGTTGCAAAACTCAAAATTAGATATAAAATCTTAAGGCAAGGCAATTTTATTTGTATAGCACATCTAAAGCAACAACGCAATTCAGGGAGTTTTACATGATTACAAAAAAAAATAAAGCAACAAAGTAGCTAAAAAAAAAAAACATTACATTGCATTGGAAAATTAAGGGAAAATCATGACAGGTTGAAAAATAGACTCCACCTTATAACATTCCAATTATTAATCAAATGCAAGTCAATTTGTTAATTAAAAAAATGTGGGATTTTAGCATTGCGTTAAAGGAATTCCGTTTTTTAGCATATTTGGAGTTTTCTGGAAGTTTGATCCAGAATAAAAACTGTTTCTTCATGTTTGGTTCTGAACCTGAGGATGCAAAGCAGACTTGAACCAGACGATCTGAGTGACAGCAAAAGAGAGACTGAGAAAGAGTGTGTGTAGCTGTTCAATTCAGACCTTGAAGAAAGTGTCTTTTGTGATTTTAGTGCGCAGGATGAAGATGCGATCAAAGACCTTTTAGGCTGCGGTATGTTATTCCTTTTTAGGCAGCTGTTATAGACACCATTCAGAAAAGGCATTTGCAGCTGTACATATTGGAGCTACCACCACGTATTTCATTAAAAATCTTTCTGTGTAAATTTCTCATGTTACAATGTAGACACCAGAGGCTCATAGACAAGTATGACTTATATGAGCACTTTTATTTTCCTTTGCAAAAGATAGTGGGTGAGGTCTATAAATCAAGTGTACTTAATATTTTGGGAATTTTGGTATATATTTAGCAAGAGCAAAGGCAAAAACTGTGCTTTGATATTGGGAAACATACAATATGTGATATATTTATATGATGCAATGCACTCGCAATAAATAAACAGAATTAAAAAGTGTTTAAGATACTTTTTTTTTAAGTAGTGTTATTAATTGAAAATGACACTACCCACATGTATGGCTATATATTTACCCAAAATTAAGCAAATATGTACTCAATGCTGGAGTAGTACCCAGCTTCAGAGAAAAAATGGAATCATCTATTTATATTTTAACAACAGGTTTCTAATTGAACAAAAAGCTTCTAACCAACCTTTGCTGTTTTGGCACTGAAAAAATTTGTAGTTTCTTAGTAGAGTGTCACTAAATACATCATGGGCAAATTTGAATGGAGTCTGGCTAGTTATATGCTTGTGATATGCATGCTGTACAGTGAAAATACAATAACAATATAGGCTATTTGTGATGATGTATTCTGCAGATCTATTCATTGTAGTGAAATTGCCGTAGAACATACTGAAGTTTGTGGTTGTACATGTGAATGGAAGAAAAAAAAACACTTTTCAGGACCATCTATGTGAAGGACTATTTTCTTCCATAACCAGTTAACCAATTGTAATTTGCTTTTATGCTTTGATCTTATAAACACACCATAGCCTACTTGTAGCCTGACAGATGTTGTGTTGTTTTTTTAAAATCTGCTCATTGAGCACTTTCCCCGTCCCAGACTGGGTTCCAGTGTCACCAGCAGCTCAGTCCGGCTATACTTATCACTGCGACCGTGGGACTCACAGTGGGCCTTGACGCCGACAGCATGCAGTCAGCCCTATTTGGACACAGCTCCAACACCAGCCTGTCACTTTAAACCAGCCACTGTTCATTCATTTTCTGTCGCCTCTCTCTGAAACCTCCCGTCTGGCTTTTCTTTAAACTCGTCATTCACTCTCAGAACCAGCCTCCATAAAGTATTTTTCTACCAACTCCAGCAGCCAAGCAGCTGCTAAATCCTTCGAGCTGAACAGGCACTTTCAGGCTGACACACACAGGCTCAGTCCTATAAACAGCAACACACGCTTACAGTTTTTTAGGGAGCGGCAAACTTATCCGGCTTTCTTATTAATAGGCAGCAGGAGGAAGAGAGGGGGGTGGAATAAAGGGACATACCCGGCTGTCATGGCGATGTTGTAGAAAGTGAGCCATGCGGTTATGAGGGCGCTTTTCGTTCTCTTCTTGTTGTTGTTTTCCTTCTCCTCCACCGTGCCGTCCTCCTCGCTGGACGCCATGGCACCGGGGGCAGGGTGGGGAAGTCAGGAAGGGAGCTGACAGCTGGGGTGGGGAGCAGTGGGGTCGTCCATCCATCTAGCCACCCACAGAGACCCCCCTTCTGTCACTCTCTCTCTCTCTGTGGGGCAAGTGCGTGGCCTGCTGGTGGGCCCCTCGATGCGTAATTAAACTCAGATTCTGATAGCATAAGGGTTCATTTACATCTTTCTTTATACTTTATTAATTCCAAAGGGAAAATAAATGCTCCAACTCAGATTATCAAAGTTTCTTCAAACGTTGCAGTTCCTGATGGCTGTGGGTAGGAATTATCTTCTGTAGCAGTCTGTGTAACGGCAAATTAAAGAAGCGTCTGACTGAAAACACTGTGTTCTTGTTGTGTAACAGTGTCATGAGGAGGATGCTCATGACGTTCTGTGGATTTCAGTTGGACCGTTATGAGCAGTCAGTATTACACTTGCATTGGGATATTTGCCAATTTTAAGGTGAGTCAGGAAAATAAATAGCAGATTTACTGGAAGGTAAAAGAAAAAAAAAAGACAAAAACTGCATTCAAAGGTGGGAGTGGATAAATACTGAAACATGCAGACATGAGATCTGGTAAGACTCCTGATTGAGGAAAAATAATAATCCTGAGTCACTAAGACTGTATGCTTTTACTATTTGAAAGGCAGCTGTCTCCAGACCAAGATGTAATTTGTATGAATGTCTTGTTACAAAGCTTCTGCAGAGCTGAATGACTACTGCTGAGGAGGAGAGCCATTTGATTTCGGTGAGTTGAAGCAGGGATGCATCTAAAGGTTGCAGGATAAACAGGACTGGACTTGGGAAACCCCGTTGTCAACTCTAAGCTGTACATTCAGCAACACATTCTCGTTTCCCCAGAATGACAAGAAAACACTTTTATTAAAACACACCATGTCACCTCTAGTGACGGATTCTAATATTTTTTAGCAAGAAAAAACTTATCAGATCAGTTTAGGTGTCACTGGCTCACCATTAATATGATTTTTGCCACTAGATGGCGGTGCATCAGTGAAGAGAATCAATTTGGTTTTGCTATTGTTGAATTGGGATTCTTGAATTACAGATCTCAAATCCACTTTATTATAGATTATAAATATATGAAATCTTTAGCTTTAGGTGCATTACAACTCCAACCTTCAAGGTGTAGAAATTGATTAACTTTGTTTTCCATATAAAAACAGACTGAATGCCAGTCGCATCACTCTGGCGATTCACAATGCCTAGTGCAGTGTAAGCATTTGGTTGAGCAGAGAGCTCAGGCTGTGGTGTGTGGAAAATGCTAGTGGAGGCAGACAATGCCGCAGTCCGAGGCCTGACCAGCCCTGAGAGGGGCAGGGGTCGCCTCACTGCGGCAACAGCCCCCCACCGTCTCCCTCCTTTCCTTCTCTTTTTGCGATCTGCCACAGGATGGGATCAGGGAGCACACTGAAGTTTGCCCTCTGCGAGGTGCTGCAGTTTGCTGGCCTGTGTGTGCCACTCTTCATCGTGATGCAGAGATTTGCCATCATTGTGGCAAAGGTCAAAGCGTCTGCGCAGCCCCCCAGCGACACCAGCACAGCTTACTGGCTGATCGTGGCCTCCTCAATCGCCTATGTCACCTCCACCGCCCTGCTGGTGTGGGTACCCCTGAAATACTTGGTGTTTATAAAAAAGAAGTTTCTTGTTGGGAGGAAGAAATGGTGAGTTTCCGATGTTCTTACTGTTTGTGGTCATCAACTTGGATCCCAGTGCAGCCCAGACTGGAACAAGACCGGTTGGTGTGAGGCAAAACAGGCCTGTGGCAGGTTTTAAGTTCATGTAAATACCATGAGTTAGCAACTTCTGTAACTGCCTCTGTCCTGCTCTCTTATCTTTTGTTGTCCTCACTTCAGGAGGCCTGTGGCCCTGGTATATGTAATCCTGTCCACGTTACCCTGCTTTGCCTTTCTCATTGCCAGCTCTGAGGTAAAAACATGCAGAGAACTATTTGATACATCTGTTTAGGTTTGGAGGCCTTTGCAGCAAAGGTGACCATTAGCAAGAATCCCCTTGTTCTCAGGGGAATAATATCTAACTTAAAGGTTAAGAAACTACTGATAAGCAGCTTGGTTCCTCTTCCTGTCTATGCTGTCAAATCGTCTATCCATGAGGCCCATTCTCACTTCCTTGCTGGCTGCAATCCAGTCCTGATTTGCCGTTTTGTGAAGTTTTCTCAAAAGTCTGAGTTGACCCTATGGCCCTTTTCTTATCCGGTGTCTTCCAAAAATGCCGTAAATTCTGCTAAGATGACCATCTTTGTCAGCTTTTTTCTGTGTTCCATCAATGTGAACTACTGACTCAAGCAAATACCATAGGTGCAAGAGATATAATGCAGCACATCGTGGTCATTCTTGCTGACTTAAAATGGAAAGGTTTGGGTCATTTGTAACTCAATTATCAATCCTAACCCAAACTCATTATTGTCATCTCATTGTTTGTCCAGGTTCAGATAAACAACAACATGAAACACGACACATTTACGGAGATCCCTGTGTCTTTGGTCTTCTTCTCCTTAATCTGCATTGATGTTGTGGAGAGGATCCGACACTGCAGATTGACCGGACAGGGTGAGAGCAAAACCAGCTCCTTTAATACCCAGTCATGTGCCCATTTAGAGGTAACTCCTATTGATATTAGATGATTTTTCAGAACGCAATACAGTGATAGATTTGTTGACCTGTCCTTAGTGTATGTTGCCTCTTACTTATTGACAGCTGGAGGTAGGCCCCAGCATCCCCTGTAATCATATTAGGATAAAGTACAGTGAAGGAAATTATTAATGAACACCTGCTAATTTTGTAAGATTGCTCACTTGTAATATGAACAAGCTTTAATTTTATGGATGTTTCAAGATCCAGAACAAACACACTACTTACCATGAAAAGTTCAAATATGACTATCATGCACATCTATCTTCTTTCTTCAAGTACCTTTTAAATCTCCATAACAGACCTTTCATAGTTTAATTCCATTGGCTGGTGAGGATCGTTTTTTTTTTATGAATAATATATAATTCAGTGAACTAAATGTTCAGCAGAATAGAGTGGTGGAGGTGACAAATGCATTGAAGGAATAGGGGACACTGATCTTGAATTAGAGTCTTCTTCCTCCATTGAGAAAATTGAAGATGGGTAACTAACGACCATCAGTTAAGACTCACTCAGGAAAATCTTTGCTAGGAGCTAAAAAATTGTTCTTGCCAAGCAGTAACCTTAGGACTCAGAGAAGCATTAAGGGTACAGAGGAGTAGAGTTCTGAAACATGTACTTACTTGTGAGCAACAAGGAAAAAAGTCTAGCTTCGCAAAAGAGATTTCAATGAAGTTTTAAGTCATGGATGATCAAATAGTTATTTCACTCTGATGTGACTAGAGCCTTCATGTCTTTGTAAGTGAGATGACTGCCTGTTTTTTTTTGTTTTGTTTTGTTTTGTTTTTCCATTTGTATGACTTTGGGTTGCATTCCTTTTCAACACCTTTTTCTCATTTGGCCTTTTTTCGTTGCAGCTAATGAAATGGGAAGAGATGCTGAAATCCCCTCCACTGTCTTAACTCATGTGGAACCAATAGCACCAGTATCCCCCATCACTCCAGCTGTGTCAGGAGCTGCCGTTTCAGGACCAGCTGTGCCCGGCCCGGCTGTATCGCGGCCGTCGATGCATAGGCAGGGTATGCCAAATCCTCTTCAGCCTGGAACAAGTCAGATAAATGACAGGAACCACAATGGAGGAGGGATACGTCCGGAGACCAATGGTGCCGTACCTGGAATAAATGGGACCTCTGGCCGGCCATTTATCATCTCTTCTCCTGAACTGAGTTCACCATCAATGAGTGGACCAGTTTATCATTTGTCTCCATACACCTACACGGGCCCTCTGAGGTTTCTATGTGTCAGTGACGCCCGAGCAGATGTGTTCGTTGATAGCTTTATGTTCTGGATGGATACGGTGGAGATGGTGAGGGTGGCAGGACATCCACTGGTCTACTACTCCGGCTGGGTCTTTCCCATCTACATCTTCAGCTATGTGTCCTGCCTACGTGTGGTGGTCATGCCCAACACCCCACTCCTTTCCTCTCTAGGAGTCGCACTGCAGGACTTGCCTTTCTTCTTCGTGCGTGTTGGCCTTATAGCCCTCTTCGGGTTCGTCACGCCCGTACTCTATCTGATGAAGAATCTGTTGGTCTGTCTGGCATTTGTCTACTTTAATTTCATGACCAAGCTGAGGGTATTTAACACAGAAAGGATGTTCTTTTGAGACCATGAATGCGAGGACAGAACGCTGTCAGGAAATGCAACCTGATGGCATTCAGAAAGGGGTTCCACCAGTTTATAATTCATATTTAGCAATGGTATTCAAGGCAAAACACAACTGGATGCAAATACACCATATATGTCATAGAGTTTTGTAACCCAGAGGTTCCCAAACTGTGGGGCGCGCCCCCTAGGGGGGGGCGCCGTGTCATTGCAGGGGGTGCGGAGGAAGCCGTCTGGATGAAAAACAAAACAAAAAAAAAACAT